GGTAACCTTTGAGAGAAGGTGACCGGTCATGTCACTTTACTTTGCAAACATTGGTCCAGTATCTCAGGCATGGTGAACCACGTCAGAGGTCAAGGGGACATCCCGCCGCTCATCCATCACGAGGCACACAGTGAAAGGGATGTTTGTCATTTTGCAGGGTTGATTGGATTGAGAATATCCATTTTAGTCTTTGATTGAACAGTGCTTTTTGGTTGTATTAGTAGCAAGTCCATGATTGTACAGTGCTTCCATTATCTACAGTGACCTTCCCACGAGCTTCCTATTTTGTCCATGGATGAACAGGGGAAGGTCACAAATCCTCCTCTATAAATATGATGATATTGGATAGAGGAGGGATCCAATTTTTCTCTCACTAAAGTTCACTCTTGAGATAGAGTAAGAAATATAATTCGGACTGAGGAGATTTACCCGGTCTAGGTCATACTTTGCGTTCTTGTTGTGTGTTTTATATTACGGGTCGAGTGTGTCCAGGTCAAACCCGGTTAACCCACTCCGCTATATTTACACCATCATTGGGTATTTAGTATTATTAATTGGATGAATATTGACACAAAATATAAATAAATGCAGCCTCACGGGGGACCAAACGGCATACTTTGTAGGGCTAAAGCACTCCACTCCAACCATTGCCACTGCTTTGGCCAACCTCATCCCAGCCATCACTTTTATTATGGCCGTCCTCTTCAGGTAATTATTATTACTCTCTCCGTCTATTAAAAAAGTTCCCGTTTTGACTTTTTGAAGATTTAAGGAAAGTGTATTTTTGTATTGACTTTTCAAAAATGCTCTTTGATGTGATGATAAAGTAGGATGAGATAGATAGATTAATAGAGAAAAAGTGTGATATGATAGGTAGGTTAAGAATTAGTAGGGGTAAAAGTGACTTTTTAAAAGGAAAAGGGAAGTGTTTTTTTGGGACGGATGAAAAAAGAAAGAAGAACTTTTTTGCGTGACGGAGGGAGTATTATTTAATTCATTTATCATTGTTTCCTTTTCTATGCTTTTTTTAATTATTTGAGGCCCCTTATTCTTACAATAAAAAAAATTAAAACAATAGAATCGGGTCACATGCGGTGTTCTTTTCGTAAAATTAATTGTTCCTAAACCTAACCCCTCTCGATAAACCCCCTAGCTCGATCCTATGCCTAGAGTACCCTCACACCCCTCCAATTGTACCACTTCTCGTACTCTTGAGTGGTCATTTTTGACCAAAATGAAAGGTGGTGTGTTTGGAGGGGGTGCATGCATGTTAGGAAAGGACCGGGCTTGGTTTTTTTACGAGGGTTGGGGGTCGTTAGAGGGTAGGAATAATCGATTTTGCGAACAAATCATCGTAGACACTCCAAACGAAGTTTTATAAGAGATTTGTAGTAAATTTCTATTAAAATTAAAGAGTATCCCACATCGGAACCTGAAGTGAAAATAAACCGGTATATAAGCCCTTGAGTTGACCTAACTAATAGATTGGATTCAATCCTTTAATGTGGTTCAACCCAAGTGTCTTATTGCTCAATCTAGTTGTCCATACCCCATCCTAAAATTCTATCATGGTATCGGAGCAGGTTTTGGCCCACCTCGTTTGTCATGGTGTCCGTCTAGACGTTCATTCCTAGCGGCCCGTTTGTCTTTAGCCCAGTTATCCGTATGGAGTATGTACCCAACGGCCTGTGGCCCGTTTGACCCGATTGCACGTCTGGAAGTCCATACCCAGCGGCTCGTGGTCCTTTAGGTGTTGGCACTAAAAAAAAGTCAAGGGAATGGGAGTCCATTTGCAAGTGGTCAACCGGTTAGATTCAAAATGGCCCGATTGTCCACTTGAGGGGGAGTGTTAAAAGAGTATCCCACATCGGAACTTGAAGAGAAAATAACCCGGTATATAAACCCTTGAGTTGAACTAACTAATCGATTGGATTCAATCCTTTAATGTGGTTCAACCCAAGTGTCTTATTACCCAATCCAGTTATCCGTACTCATCCTAAATTCTATCAATTTCTTTGTTGTAAAGATTAAACTCCCCTTTTTATATATTATTATGATACAATTTAGGATGAGTTAAGGATCACTGGACTAAGTCATAAGACAGTTGAACCACATTCAAAGATTGAAAACAATCAATTAGTTAGTTCAAATCAAAAGCTTATATGCCGACTGATGGTGTAAAATATAGCGGGGTGGGTTAACCGGGTTCGACCTGGACACACTCGACCCGTAATATAAAACACACAACAAGAACACAAAGTATGACCTAGACCGGGTAAATCTCCTCAGTCCGAATTATATTTCTTACTCTATCTCAAGAGTGAACTTTCTCCTCTATCCAATATCATCATATTTATAGAGGAGGATTTGTGACCTTCCCCTGTTCATCCATGGACAAAATAGGAAGCTCGTGGGAAGGTCACTGTAGATAATGGGAACACTGTACAATCATAGAATTTAGCAACTATAGGCCAAGACATGTACTGTTCAATCAAAGACTAAAATGGATATTCTCAATCCAATCAACCCTGCAAAATGACAAACATCCCTTTCACTGTGTGCCTCGTGATGGATGAGC